TGCTCTGGGTGTCCCTGCTGGAGCAGGGGGTTGAGCTGGATGATCTCTGGAGGTCCCTGCCAACCTCAACCACTCTGTGATTCTATGGGGCTCTGCAGTGTCTGAGGTTGCACCCCTGCCCCTGGGAGGGGACAGCACCATGTCACGCTGTGATATCCAGCAGTGTCACCCCGCTGTCATTCAGGGAGCGCAGTGAGGGTGTCTCCAGGTTCCTCTCTGTGTACCCAGAGTGATTTTTGCGTGAGCCAGCTCTCATTGGGAGCTCCCCGGTGCCGGCAGCGCTGACGGTGCCGCCCCGCAGGGAGTACACGCTGGACGTGTACCGCCTCTCCTCCGTGGTGACGCAGCACGACGCCAAGAAGGCGGGCGCCGAGGTGGTGAAGCAGCTGGAGCACCCCTTGCTGAGCGGCCTGCTCTACCCGGGCCTGCAGGTGGGTAGCCAGGCGGGTTGGCAAAGCCCCTTGGTCTTGGAGAAGCTGGGATGCAGGAGGCGGATCCGCCAAGGTCGCTGCTCCCTGCTGCAGCAGCACGAAGCTCCGCTCTAAAGCTCTGCGTTTGCGGCAGCTCCCGTGGGCTGCAGGCCCGGGGCCAGCAGGGAGGGCACGGAGCTGCCATCCTGCCCGGGGCAGAGCCTGCGGGATGGGCAGCTGGAGCAGGGAGTTTGGGGCAGGCTCGAGGCTGGCTCTGCATCTCTCCGCAGGCCCTGGACGAGGAGTACCTCAAGGTCGACGCGCAGTTTGGAGGAGTCGATCAGAGGAAGATTTTCACCTTTGCAGAGAAGGTCAGGAGGGAGGGTTGATCCTGAAGCTGCAGTGCCAGTGCCTGGCACAGGGCTCCATCGCAGGAGCGAGCAGGGATTGGGGGTTACAGCTGCTCTCTGGAAGATCCCCCATCGCCCGTCTCCTTGTTTTTCCCCAGTACCTTCCCTCTCTGGGCTATGCCAAGCGCATCCACTTGATGAACCCGATGGTTCCTGGTCTAACGGGCGGCAAAATGAGCTCATCAGAAGAGGTTGGTCCCTGAATGGTAGCTGCAATGAGGGACCCTGCAAAGCAAAGGGGTTTAGGGCTGGGAGAGAAGGTGCCTCCCTCTGGGCAAGAGGTTGAAAGAAGGGTGGAGGTCCCCAGGATACCTGGGAAGTAGTTCTCTCTTGTGGGTGGGATGGGGAAAAGCAAAGCCCCTCAGCTTCACGGCGAGTGTTTGGGTGCTCTGAGTTGCTGCCTGCACAGCTCAACTCCAGGGAATCCTTTCCTCCAGGAATCAAAGATCGACCTTCTAGACCGCAAGGAGGACGTGAAGAAGAAGCTGAAGAAGGCTTTCTGCGAGCCAGGAAACGTGGAGAACAACGGTGTCCTCTCCTTCATCAAACACGTCCTCTTTCCTCTCAAGTCAGGTGAGGGGCTCCCCACACGTGGGTGCTGGGGCTTGTCTTTCCCGAGGGCAGGGAGGGGATGGGAGTTGTGTCCCCTAGAGCCTGTCCACTGCAGGGCCCCTCCCCGGCCCATGCTGGCACAGGGCCCAGGGGCTTCACAGTCCCCTCAGCTCCTGGGCAAAGTGGGGTGGTTCATCTGGCTGAGTTCCTCTCAGCTTGGCTTCATCTGAGCCTTGAAATCTCTGTGTCACAGAGTTTGTGATTCTGCGAGAAGAAAAATGGGGCGGAAACAAAACCTACACGGAGTACGAAGCCCTGGAGAAGGACTTTGCTGAGCAGGTGAGTGCTCAGCAGTGTCACCTGCACCAGGTGTCCACCCCGGGTTTGTCTCCTCTTCAGAGAGAGTCCACCCTGCCTTTTGTAGCTGACACCCTCACGGAGACTTCTCAGCTGTCTCCTACCACCTCTGAGATGCCCCTACATCTAACCGAGTCCGGGCATCGGAAACTGCCTCTCACTTCCAGGCGAGGGCTCTCTTGCCAGAAGAGGTGCTTTAATCCCGTTCTGGGAAGAATGCCAAGGCCCGGGTCTGCTGGAGCTGAGAGGAGAGATCACAGCACCTCCCTGGCCCTACATCCGTGAATCACATTCTGCTTCTCCCCCCTGCTCTGGAGGAAACCATCCAGGAATCCACCTTTTTGTCACAACACAGGTCGTTCATCCCGGGGACCTAAAGAACTCGGTGGAAGTGGCTCTGAACAAATTGCTTGACCCCATCAGGGAGAAATTCAACAACCCAGAGCTGAAGAAGCTAAGCAGTGCAGCATATCCCGACCCGTCCAAAGCCAGTAAGGAGGGGCTGGGAGTTCAGGAAAGGAGACCGCACGGAGCCAGGCTGAGAAATGTCTCTGGAGACTGAGATTCTGGAACTTGTATCTCGGGAGCAGCCGTGGAGAGGGTCTGGCGTGGCCTGTGTGCCTCTCCTGGGCTGGTGGCTGTCACATTCGATTATGTTTGAGCAGTAGCAGGGGTGAGGAAAGGCCAGCGCCAGGGCTGCTTGCCGGCCCTGGCGGGGACAGATGCCAGCACGTGTTTCTGTTGCTGCCTGAGATAACGGCGCGGTGGAGGAGGGACTGTCTGCTCTGTGTCACAGAGACAAGCAGGGGGT